GTGCCCATCAAACAACCAAAATGGTAGAAAATGAAAACAAATTCATAGTTCCATGGAAAAGATGTGTTATCAAACACACCCTTAATAAGATTAGCTTGCACCCAAAATTGATCTCTCCTTACGTTCTACCATCCTATTATCTTCCTCAATTTTAATTTTAATGATCACATCCTCTAAAGACATTTTATTTTATTTTATACTTCAAACTTTATTTATACTATTCTTAAAAAGGAGACAGTTTTTCAATAATAGCACACACTTGAAATTCCTCACACATTTTATACCCTTTAGTAGTAATTTCATGAATTACAAGTTGTAGTTCTTTAACTTGACTAATACAGTCCTAATATCATCCATTTTAAAATCAAGAAATTTTCCCACAACATATTTCTGAGTTTCAACTTCTTCATTAGCATACTTCTTTTCAAACGAATTTCTTAAATCCTTAGTAGATTTAAAAGTTTAGTAAACATCATATAAATATAAAGACAAACAATTCATAATATAATTTTTGCACATAAAATCCATATGCTTTCAATATAAATCTGATATTTCCTTATCAATATGTTTATCAGGAATTTATGGTAACAGAATTTTCCGATTCAATGACATCAATAACTTTAAGAGTTGAAATAAATCGTAACTTCATTTACCATCTATTAAATTTTTTTTATCAAACAACTCACATTTTTCATAATAATTAGGAATACGATTATCCATAGCATATATAGAAACTACTTATAAAAATTTCATTTTAGATTGTTGGAGAAAAATTAGTTGCAGGAACTATTGCAGAACAATAGAATGCAGAAAAGAAAACTTATCGAACTAGATTCGTGACAACATGATGTCTTTATGTGAAATTGTTCATCGTTAACTGTTGCAACCTACAAAATTAGACGACAATCTCTCTCTCTCTCTCTCTCACACACACACACACGGATGAAGGATCCTTGATTTTGTTCATAACCTTTATTTCAGTGCCCCCATTCTCTCTCACAGGAGATAAAAATTTAAGGAGCGAGCAATTTTATATACATAAGCAATAAAACTCGTTTACTTAAATCACGACATCTTGAATGAAAATTGAGCCACCAAGTTACAATAGAGTTCATTCCTTCATATTAAGACACCTCAAACTCCAAACTACTGAAGTCGTTCATTTCCTAATCCCTCCATTTCAGTGCCCCCTATTCTCTCTCACGAGAGAGAGAAGCTTAAGTGGGGCAACCTTATATACACGTGTTAGAATTCGTTTACTCAGATTACTACAATTGGGTTATGAACAGTCTCTCGTCGGTCTTGCATACACACGTTATAGGACTCATCCATTCATATTTCGACACCTCACACTCCAAATCACTAAAATCACATTGGGAGGAAAGATCCCCATTTTCTATCATTCCCTAATCCCTCTATTTCAGTGCCTCTCTCTCACACATGAAAAATTCTCTCAAGTTTGTTCGTGCCCTGTATTTCTATTTAGGTGAAATCCACACCAATTTTGTGGCTATT